GCCAGGTGACAATGACACTCCAAGACATGGGGATAAATGCAATGGATTTCCTCTCCGATGCTGGCCTGCCATGCAGGAATCCCTGTCACACCAAATCGCCCCACCAGATATAAGGCTTGAAGAGCCATGAGTATCTCCTGAAGAAAGGACTGCCAGTCTGTCCTCACCATGGCTGTCTGGCTTGCCTTGTGGTTGTGTCTTCCAGTCCTCCCCCTGCCCACTTGGGGAAGCCAGGGTAAGAGTGGCAGATTGTAAACTACTTTTCTCTGTGTTTCTGTTCTGCTTCTCCATGCTTTTTTAGCTGTTCGGTCACCTCTTTCTTGATTTGCAATTTTTCTCCTTGGAATATAATTTCTCTTTTTGCTCTGGCTCTTCTAATTCACAGAGTTGCATGGAGGAAGTTTCTAGTCCGCCTTCTTACTTTTCTTTTGTCCTTGTAAATCTATTCTACTTGCTGTTTAATAACATTCAAGGTAGAAATAATAAATATCCAGTGCATGTATTAATAAAACACATTTATCATGCCATGCTTTATGTACCCTGGCCCATAAGTAAGTTGTACAGTATCAGTTATTGCCAGTCACAGTAGCAATTCAAACGACTATCCCACCAGTGCTAAGTACCCTATTCCCCAGACAGTGCTGGGAATTCTGTGCCTCACCTCACTTGCAGTTACACTTTTTGTCTCAACTGCAGAGCTAAAGAACAAGGAGACTTAGCTGGCTAATGAGGTGAATTTTAGATAATTCTCTTTGAGAACCTAATACACAAATTATGTGCATGAAGGTTTGCCACTTGGTGGCATTTGGTTTAGTAAGGGTCTCTATAAAAATGAATGCCTTTGATGTAAAAATTAAGTTAATAATTTGGTCTTCCTAAAAGAGAATAATAAACATATGGAAAACGTTACGGGGAAAGGCACATTAGCTAAAAGTCTGTGAAGTTTAAGTGAAAATAGGCACAAAGTATTTCTTCATGAGAAAATCTAAATATTGCCTTGTTCTGTTTTGTCTCTCTGTTACCAATTAGCATGTGACTGTGCATTGGAGCTCATTTGTTTTATTCTGTTTTAACCACATTATGAAGACTCCAATCATTTTAATGGAGAAAAGTGGCAGTTTTTTGTATGAATTAGATTATACAATTTGTTAGCTGGTGTTTTACTTAGGTACTTGAGGAATAAGGAATAAGAAGAAAGGTGAAGCTCAATTTCTACATAAACCTTGGAGTGTATCGGGCTGTGCATGTTTCTTCCGTTACTAAAATGCTGGATGCTTAGTCACCAAATTTTCTTGCTCTTTTGCTTCTGAGTAGTTATAAATACCCCACACTTAAATGTAGACCCTGTGAATAATTATATTCAATAGTATCTGATAACTAGGAATTTTTGACTGCCACACAACCATCTATAAGTCATGTGTTTAAGCAATAAAAAAACCCCAATAAAGCCTAGAAATCCAAGAAAGATCCTCTGTCGCCCGATCAGTGTGGGCTTTCCAGACTGAGGGGAAAGTTTCCACTTATTAAGTCTCCTTGCCTTAATATTAACTTCTGGTTTGGAGCTCTGTACGCTGTTTCTCCACTCCTAAATTAAAGCAAGTGACATCCACCGCCAATTTTACTAGAAGCCACTTCAAGGATTACCTTTTTAAAAATGAAGACCGCTGCTTCCCGCAGCCAAGGTTACCTCTGTCCATAAGGAAGCCAGACTTTCTCTGATTACTGTTCTACTCAAACTCTTAGGGGTTTTTACCAAAATACTTCTCTCTTTATCTAAAATTGAACTTTTTGTTGTTGTTGGGGAGCGGGTGTGGGTGAGAAACGGCCTCTGGTGGAGACTGCTTACTCAGTCCCTTTCCTTGTACTCAGTGCTGCGGGGACCAGCACACTATGTGTTTACAGTGACATCTTAATATCACATTCGGGTTCCTTTAAAGCTTTAAACATTCTAAAACATTTGAAGATTACATACAGTTTCAAGAAAGAAAGCAGTAATGCGAATTTCTTCTTAGGCTATCATAATCTCATCAAACTATATGGAGGCAGATGGCAAAAGTGACAAAAGGCTCTGTCCCTCTTCAATATTTAACTTCCTCTATCTTTTGCCTTTTGATCATTTTCTCAGCTGTTCATTTACAGTGGCCCCACTAGCTCACGTCATGTTGCTTATTAGACAAGCCACTGTCACCTTTTTATCTTTGTGTATACAATGAAACTACAAATAAATCTGGGGAAGGGCAACAAAACAGAGTTGTAAGAATACCACTGGCCTCCTAGCCCACTTGCGCCTCTCTGCCCCCTTTCCTCCCAAATATACAGGGCAGCTTGTGTATTTGAGAATGAAAAACAAATCAAAATAGGATACACAGCCACAGATTCTGCAATTTTTTAGTAACTACTACAGAAGCTGCTAAAGGATGGAATATCAGCTCCCCCCAGATAGATGAACACACACACAGACACACACACACACACTTCTCCAAGGGCTTACGCTGAAGATATGCTTCTTCAGAAAAACCACATTCTTGGCACCTGCAGGCAGTGTGAATTTGAACCCTGAACCCACATGAGGGTCTGTGAAAGGTAATGAAGCATGAAGGAAAATTTTCTATTTCTCTCCCACTCCACACAGCCAAGGTCATAAGAAATGAGCAAGCTTGCTTTCTCCTCTGTGGGGTGCATTTTTTCACGTTTACCCTTTGAGGGAGGGTGTGGTCATATACAGATTCCCATCCATGTCCTCCATCTTGCTTGGACTGGGGATGAACCCTGACCCAGTGTATGGTAATTGCATGATACCTCAGTGCCCCAGCACTCAGTCCTATCCCCCTTTAAATGGAGACAATGCAACTCAACTAATTTAGCAAATTTTATGGCTCTCAATTTTTCTCCTGAGTACGTTAGTCTTCCTTGAGTTCCTAGAATATGATTTTCCATCCCTCACAGGCGATTTTCTCTAGTGCTGTTTCATAAATTTGAAACATTTTCTCTCTCTCTCTCTCTCTTTCTCTTTCTCTCCTTATTAGGTACTATTTCTTCTTATTCTTTAGATCTGATCATAGAAAATGCAGTCATGTGTCATAACATTCTGATAAAATGCACCATGATACAATGGTGCGATTGGATCCTTTGCAAACATTACACAGTGTATTTACACAACCTAGATAACATAAATCCACATGGCTCCTGACTCAGGAAATGTGAGATATGAGGCCTCTGTCAGGGTAACATGATATACTGTTTCACAGTATTTTAAAAATAAACAAAAGGAATATCCTGCAAATAATGATAATGTTAGCGGTGCATCGCAGTGGTAGAATATTTGCCTAGCGTGCGAGAAGCCCTGGTTCTATCCCCAGCAACGCACACACACAATAAAAAGCACAGCAAATACACAGCCAGCAATACACGTGTTTGCTTCATTTTCAATTATTATGTACTGCACATTATTTTACTGCTATATGTTCATAGCACTCTCAGTGCACTAGGTTTGTTAATAGAAGAATCGTCACAAACACATGACTGTTGCTTTGCATTGGGAGTGTTGTATTACACTCGGAAAACATGGTAGCTTCATAACTGTGACAGCCACCACATCACTAGACAATAGGAATTCTGTGCTCTATTATAGTTGTATGGGACCACTGGTGCATGTGCAGTCCGTAGTGGTGTATGTGAAACTCTGCTATGTAGCACATGACTGCACTTCCTGCCTCAGACAGACCTTCCTTAACTATTAGAATCACGATGGGGTATCAAAAATGTGTCACACTTAGACATTTTCAAGATAAAGATAGGGTCCAGGAGAAGTTTCAGTTCTCAGGTTTTGCACTATAGTCCTTTTTCCCCAAGAACAAAATTATCATTCTTTAAATAAGAAATATGCTGCACAAATAAAATATTACTCAAGGTGTTAATAGAAATATAGAAGATATATCTATACAGAGAGAGAGAGAGAGATCAAGAAACAAGGACATCAAGACTACTTCAGTACCTTGCTCAGGAATAATTAATAAGTTACCATTGTAGCTGAACATGGAATACTGAAGTTTTAGAATCTAGAATACCTATGGAAGAAATCTGTTCAAATTTCCCATGCCCAAAGACCATGATTCAACAGAATGTTCCTTCCTGGCTTGCAGAGGATTTGTGCACTTAGATAAGAAAGTCAAAATAAGTTCTTCTGGAGTATAATTTTCCCATTGCTGCTTGACTTCTGCCAAACAACTGTATGTTTTAAGGCTGTGTCATTAGCTGTACATATGGACTTCCATCCTTATCAAAAAGTTGTGTTTCAGTCTTATTTGTCACAATCTTAGTTTCTAAGAACATCAAGTGGATCTATTTATAGCTGAGTTTAAGAAACTAACAATAACTGTAAAATAATATTCATAAAATGCTACTTATATGTATTCTTTTAAATAAATATCCTGAATTTAGTAGTCTTCAGTTTCCCAAATCTCTTCATTTTACCATCAAATGGGAATGATTTCATTAAACCATATGGATTCTGTCCAAAGTGAGCTTGCTAATATCAGGAAAAGGCTTAAAAAAGTAAGCCTGCATTTCTTCTCCATCTATACCCAGTGTAGAGCAACACAGTAACCAAAGAGCATTAGTTGCATGATTACAACTGTGCACTCTATTACTTTTGTGTTTTCACTCCTCAAAACACCACCATACTCTATTAAATTTTACAGTTGGGAGAATGTAGGAGTTGAAATAGGCAAATGGAATTCTACCAGGACTAATATTTTAAAAAGAACTGATTTTATCAAAGCAAACTAACAGTAAGAAGATACTGCCTCTCTCTAAAAATCATGCAAAATTTACAAACAGTTCCTGAATGCCTGTCACTTTAAATACCATATTCAAAACATTTAATAGATAATACAATGTATAAGCAATATTTGTAACGTTTTATAAATATTAGCCCACATGTTTGCATTACAAGTGAGAAAATACACCCTAGCATGGAACACACAAGGAACACAGAATACCTGCAGGGCGGTCAGGATGTTTGCCAAGGCTTGTCCGTATGTGTCATGACAGTGAACAGCAAGTGCGCCTGCTGGGATTTCTTTCATGACACTTTCCAGCATCCTCTTCATGCTTCCTGGAGTCCCCACTCCAATCGTGTCTCCTAGAGAGATCTCATAGCAGCCCATGCTATACAGTCTTTTAGACACCTGTTGAGAAGGGTGAAATGCTGGTCAAACAATCGAAGTAAATAGCTTCAACCCTCTTGCTCCTCCTCTGACATCATACAGAGGTAAAAGTCACAACTAAGATGAGTTTATCCATGGAAAATACACACTTTCATTTTCTAGTCATTTGCCTTGGTTATTAAATCCTAAGCAGTAAGTAGAACACTAAAGTTACTACCATTATCTTTTTTCTAACATTGAAGTTTGCCTCAGAATCATATGTATTTTATAAGTATCTATCTGTTCCACTATGAAATCACAAACAAATTTTAGCTCTGTTCACTAAGTAGCTTTGCAATTGGTAGACTCACTTAGTATTTCTGGCCTCGTTTTCCTAGCTCACAATTGGATGTGCTTGTGCAAGGCAGATCGAACGTTCTCTTCAAGGGAGACAAGTTCTCACTACCAATTAATGTTATTTTCAAAGAGCACTGTGGATTTGCATGAAGGTGGCATGACATTTTTACAGATATGGGGTCTCGAATCAGAGCCCACCCATGCTAGTCGTGTGATACCAAGCAGAAGATTAGCTTATGTAAGTCTCCGTCCCTAATCTGTAGAGCATAAAACAACAAAATATTCTCATTTGGAATATTTTCTATGCCGTTGTTACTTCATTAAAAAATTATGATATCACAACAATGTCAATGACGTGTTTGATTGTGAAAGTGAAATGAGAATCCATAAAAGTCACATTAGAGAAAATGTGACATATGATTCTCACTCATTCATTCAGCATGCACTTCCTCCAGTGCCATGCTAGGTGCTGAGATGTATGGGAAAGTAAACACTGACATGGCTTTGTGTTCTCATGGAGTTTGGAGTCGAGCAAGGATAGATGGGTAGAGAACAGATTCCCACCGAGGAATACATGAATGCAAGCTAAGCTAAGAATTACAGAACAAAGGAACAGCCTTCTATGTGCATGTAGCAACAGAAAGTGACCTAAACAAATCAGACTGGAAGGGCTTCCGTGGCAATTTGAGATAAAGTAATCTTGAAAAGGGTGAGAAGGAAGGATCTGAAAAACATGTTCCAGAAATAATAAATCAAGTGCAAATGTTAGCACATTCAAGCCTGCTGAAATGTGAAATGCAGAGAACAGTCAAATATACGGGATGATGTGGTCAGAAAGTGAAAGCCAAGGCGGGGGAGTGGGGAGAGAAAATGAGAGGGCTGTCTAAAGGCTGGGAAAAGTAATCATAGTTGGAAATACTCATTTCAGAGAGAAGACCTGGAGTTTGCCACAAAAAGGGAATGATACCACCGACGGCCCCGCTGAGGTGGCTACTGACCATTGGTATCTAACACGTCCCCTCTGCTTGTCAGGGAATCACAACAGGAGCATCACAGACATGCTCGCACAGGAACTGTGTGTGTAATTCATCTGCAGGTGGCGCAGGGCAACAGGCAGAAAAATCAGGAGTCTGGTTTTAGCCGTAGGTGGACCTAGGTTTGGGGAGGCCTGAAGTTGTACCAATTTTGAAGATGTTCTTTAAAAAAGAGGAGTATATAATTGTGAATGCAAAATAATAACAGAGCCTTGAATGAGTCTTATGAAAGTGAAGGACTACAGAAAATCTAAGCTTCATTATTTAATTGCATATCTGCCCCTGTGTGCAAAGGTCTTGTTTAAATAAGAGATAACTTTCATTTGAAAAGTCCTCAGTAAGTTTCAAGAGTTCCAAGGAGTATAGGAAAGAGGAATGACTATAAATGAACTGCAACCTTAGCCTGCACAAATGTGGATTTTCTAATAATGTCAACATTCTCTCTGCTTCAGTGCCATGTTACTAAATTCAAGAAAATTTACAACCTCAGCAACAGGTTCACATCAATACATTTCATACACAAATGAGTTTCTAAGAGAGTCTGATGTAATTCACAAAGTAGAGCACTTGGTTTCCATTAGTATGAATTAATAACACAAAAGAAGTAGAACACAGACTTCAAAAAGCAGATTTTTAGTGACCGTAATCTACTGCTCTAACATTGCTCTAGCGTAAAAGCAATTCAACATAGTTGCATTTGTGATCTACAGAATGACAAATGAATGAAACTCTGATCTAAGTGACAAATAGAAAAACAAGGAATGCCACCTCAGCAACCAAGGCAAAGCCTGAGTTGTGGATACACAAACTGTCCTGTGTTCTGCTGGGAAGAGGAATCGCCACTAACACGGAAACAAAACAGACATTTTTATTACTTCCATATTCAAGCATCCAAATAATGAGTTGACTTCCATTTAACTTTTAAAAGTTATAGCCCATACATAAGTCTTCAGTGTTAAAATGAAGCGATTAGTTCAATAATCAAACAAGTCTTCAGGTGTGACCTCGCCTTCCATGGCTTTTGCTAGTCTTTGCTGTATAGACCAATAGGTAGTAAGAAAATATTCCCATTGAAAAATTATATGCATTCTTTTACCATAACCAAAGAGGCAGGAGCGGAATCTTACTTCTGTCACTTTTTGTGGTGTGATGCTTCCTTCATATGGGCAGCCCAAGGCACAAGACACATATCTAAATTTAAAATACAGAGTAATATTAATATGTATAAGGTGGATATGTTATTTCCTAAATTTCATTTTATGAAAATAAGAAGTAGCAAAATAATGCATCAAGGAATTTCATTTTATACTCTTCTGTCATTGTTATTTTATTCTTAAATCAAACAAAAATTATGTAGAACCATTTTCAATTAATTTGCACTTAAATATTTCTAATAACTACAATTTTCTATATAATATTGGATGGCAGACGGGGACAAAATAACAGTTACTTATCTTGTGAAGCAGTTTGTACTATAGCCACATCAGTATTCAAAGCAGAGAACAGTAGTGAAATATATAGCTTTATTTAACTGTATGCAGCTCTTTAGTGTACACATACACACCCAGGTATTTATCTTATGAGGCTGCTTGTATTATAGAAATATGTCAACATTCAAAGCATAAAATGACACTAAAATATATATTTTTACTCAAATAATTACATAATTCAACTTCTAAATATCCAGGTCTTTAGAATTATATATACACAGCATGAAAAAGGCTAAATTTCTCTGTGAAATTCCATCTGGATGTTTTGACCTCATTTAGATATTGTCATTAATCACCCCACACTCCTAGGACTAGGGCACAGCCTCAGAGTCTATCTTGTCTCTCTCGTGGCTTACTCAGATCATTCCAAACAGAATAGTGTCTAATGTGTTTAAAAGGATCCAAATAAATGCATTCTGTAAGCTTCTTCTGCAATACACTTTCATATAAAAAGTGAAGCCTTTCCAGTGCAGACAATGATTACTTTCCATCTTAAGTTATCAAGTTTTAGGACAAGTCTGTTTTGGCTATTTTCAGCTCATCACCAATCCCACTTTATTAAACTTTCCTCAGAGATTTTTATGACACTAGTACTAAAATAATGCAACCTGTCTGAAGGTGAGGAATGAAGCAAGGCACACAGACGTGTGGAGAGCTGGGTAACAAGGCTGGAATTATAATTCCTTGGGCCCAAATATAAAAGGCTTTAGATAGCAAGGGCCCTTGAGTAGGTGCCAGGGAGGTTTGATTTTGAGATGCCTGAACATTACTTTCAGACACTCAAACTTATTAGGTACAATAGTGACAAGATCAGTTTTGTTCTCCAGTTACATAATCTTCAGAAATACTGAAGTAGTTGTCAGAAGAAAGAAGAGAAGATAATACCATATTTCCTTCATTGTAAGATGCTACTGATAATAAGATAACTGATAACTATTTCAAAATAGGCTTTGGAGAAGAAACACAAAGCACTTACTCAGGAGCTCAGGACATATCTAATAATTATAAGATGGAACTTAATTTAGGGATATTAAAATGTGAGTAAATGTTATATTTGGAGGTTAAAATAAGTAGCTCCAGAAGCCAGGCAAGAAGTGATGAGGCCAGGCAAGAAGAAGAGGCAGCAAATTCAAATACAATTTAAAAGTTACCTACCTGTCTGTTCTAACAATTACTATACTCTAAGGTTATTGTTTGATAACTTGTTTAAATTTAACCACATCTTATGTGGATATAATTTGGTAACAGTAAAAGGAGTAAACTCATTATACATGCAATAATTAAAGTAATCTGCTACAAATATGATATGTTGATCCTGAGTTAAAAACATCTAGACAAGACTAAATAGAAGATGCAAATGTCCATTTTTGCACGTTCTCCCTCTAACTGTGAAAATGAAGGCAAATAAAGAGCAATAAATTATAAAACAAACAAATCTCTCCTGCATTCACACCTTACTACTGGTCCATCCATCTTTACAGGAGCCCAGCAATGCCCATCTGGTCACATGGTACTTATGGCTTCTTTTGCTCTAGAACAGCAGAGAACATCTGACTCACGAATCTAATTACTACTCTGAATTTTTACAGAAAAACTTGCTAACCTCTCCTAAAAGGGGTAAGCTGTTCTTCCTGAAGTGAAACAGCCTCCACTGTCCTGAAAATGGGCTTCACTTCCTGCATTGACAAGCAGCTAAAGACAGATTCTGGACTTCCCTGATAGTCCATTACAGTGGTTCGCAATCTTGGCTTCATAGAGTCACTTAGGGAGCAAAAACAAATCAAAGCAATTTCTCTATGGAAAGTATGGCATAGACCTAGAGGAATGAACATGAGGGTAGACACATGCACACCTATGTTTATTTATTGCATTGCCATTAACAGTAACCAAGCTATGGAAGCAACCCAGATGGCCCCCAACTAATGAATGGACTAAGGAAATGTGGTAAATATACACAATGAACTATTATTCAGACATAAAGAAGAACAAAATTAGGGGGTAAGAGGGTGAATATTGTGCAAATACTGTGTGCAATGTATGTAAATGAAAAAATGACACCTGTTGAAACTACTCCAGGAATCAAGGGGGATAAAAGAAAGTGGTGGAGGGGGTGAATTCAAGTATGATATATTTGATACATTGTAAGAACCTTTAGTAAAAGCCACAGTGTACCCCCACCCAACACAACAATTCAGGGGAAAGAAAGAATAAAATTATGTTGTTTGTAAGTAAAAGGACATACACCAAGACAAGGTATAGCTGACATTTAAATTACCCTACCTCGTCTCATTTCTGACCACACCTTTTGAAACTTGCTATAATCTTCCAGTCCATTTGTCTTTCCACTGTAGTTAATCAACTATCTTGTTTGAACATTTATTCTTTTGCCTCCTGATGATGCATCCTTGGATCACTCCCACCCATAGCCATCTTAGAAGGGCACTGGAACTTCACACTTGCAAAGGTTCCTTGGAAAAATTATACTTGGGCCCATCTTAGCAGATCCCCTATGACCCTCAGCCACCAAACTACAAGTAACTCAAACAAGGTCATGCTCCCCACCTTCTGGCCCAAAATACTTCAAGTCATGCTTCGGATGCAAACCAAGTCCTTTTGTTCTGTTTGCTCTTCAGAAGAGATTTGTGAAACATTCCTTCTTTGTGAATGGCGTGATTGTATATAGAATAGGCTTCCTTTATTTACCTTTTTTGGGGGGGGCAGTTATGGCATTTGAATTCAGGGCTTTGTACTTGGGAGGCAGTTGTTCTATCACTTAAGCTCTTATTCACCAATTTCAACCAATGGTACCTTAAGACATTTTTCCTCATACATTCATATTTCTTGGCTTTTGGCCTTCCATCTAAATAGCCAAACTTTCAAATTTTCAATGATCCACTTAAATCTCAGAGACTGAAATTTATACTGCTGATGAGTTTGTTCTGTGATGTTCAAGGAGGCAAACACCTCACTCCATGGCTCCAGGTGTTATTTAATTTTAGAAATTTTAATGTCATGCCTATTTGGGGGAAATTATGAATTAAAAAAACAAATTGTTAATGTTAAATTCAGCTTCTAATATTGAATTTTGTGATTAGGTGCTAACTCTTAAATTCCCACGTTTTCTTGGCCAACCCACTCACAATGTCTAGCTTTGCAGTAATTTTTATGTAGAGTTTATTGATGTGTCTGGAAGTGAGGACTGCAGAGGACTTCACACATGAGCTGAAGGTTGGAGAGGCTTTCAGAGGATCAGTAAATTTGGGAGGCACAACCCATTTTTAAAGTCCTTCATTTACGGGATCTGCTTTAATGTCTTTAATCCAAATAACCACAAATGTTTGAGCCACAAGCTCCATCCCCCCACCTCCACCTCTGCTTCAACTCTGATGCAGTCAGTACCAGGGAACAAGGTGAGGAAAACCTGGCTAGATGCATCCCAAGTTAAAACTCAGAGCTTGGCTCATCTCCAGCTCTAGCTAAATTTTTTTTAATTACTTTTGGAATTTTGAATTAATTTAAGAATGAATAATATGCCTTCTAAAATTATCTTGGTGAAAGTTTAAAAAGATTAAATGTAAGCTGCTATACTGCTTCAGTGTTTCTTCAGAGTACTTCCTGCAGGTATTCTTCATGTTCTGACTTCACAGGTAAAGTTTCTAAATAAAAGTATTTTCCACAATTCTTTTAAGAAAACTCATAGTTATTTCAACTGTGCAGTTGAAAAAGAATGTTCACCTCACCAACTAAAAGCATTAAATATTCACTCTGCAATTTCATATGGTGCACAAATGTCTTTATTTCCTTGCGTCCTTCCCTTCCTCCCTCCTTTCTTCCTTTCTTTGGGGTCTCACATGTGCCAAACAAGCTCTCCAACACTGAGTCACATCCCCAGCCCTTTTAAATTTTATTTTGAGATAAATAATGACTTGTTAAGCTGCTCAGGCTAGGCTTGAACTTGGTACCCCCCAGCCTTAGCCTCCCTGATTAAGTAACTGGAATTATAGGCGTGCAACACCATACCTGGCCATATTTATTTTACTCTGTTGCATAACTGTTTTTACACCAATGCCATATATAATATGCATATGAGAAAAGGCATGTTGAAAATACTTTAAAGTTGTTAAAAGTGACTACATCCTCCAGAAACATGTCCCAGTCAACCAAAAATTGTGCTGAATGAATTACATACTTTAGAAAAAAACTATCTTGAAATTCCTTACACATTTCCTTCTTTCCCACATATGGCAAGTTATGCTCCAGCAAAGAATATTTAATGACTATAAAGTCCCTTGCTAATTTCATGAGAAATAAAGAGCACATTATCTCCTAAAAAGCTCTAAATGGATGCTGTTTAGATGTGACTGCACAAACACACTGCTGGATGGGTTATTATGGCACACAGAAGTGCTAGAATAATATGGAGGACTAAAAGAAGCATACATGCTCACACAATTCACACACATAAAGGAAAATAGCTTTCACAGATGGCTGAGCTTTAGTTTTATGTACCATATTTTTGTAAATGATGATCTGAATTGTTCTTCCAGGCCAGCACGTCAGGCATCAGGGTAATGGTAGTAGTTAAAAAGGAACTTGTACGAACAGCGAGAGACTGCCCACTTATGAGAAGATAGTGCTATGTATGCAAGAGAATTCCACAGAGGTAGATGATCCAGTGGAAGGCATTTAACAGACCAGTCA